GCGGTAGGGCGGGTGAGGGCGTCGGCGATGTTGGATGCGCCTTTTTTGTACGTAACGGTGTAGTGGAAGTTGGACTCAAGATAGTCCAACCAGCGAATCTGTCGTGGGTTGAGATTCGGTTGGGCGCGGAGGTACTGTAGTGAGTGGTGGTCTGTCCGTATTGTCACGTCGGCGCCAGTCAGGTAACACCGCCAAACTTTGAACGCGTGCACGATCGCCAGCATTTTGCGGTCGTGTATTGGGTAGTTGCGTTCGGGCGGGTGCAGCTTGCGAGACTCATACGCGATTGCCTCGAGGCCGTTCTCAAAATCCTGCAATAGTGTTGCTCCCACAGCGATGTCACTTGCGTCGGTGACGAGCTCGAACGGACGGTGTGGATCTGCGATGTGAAGCACGGGCGGTGAGCACAAAATATTTTTGAGGGCCAAGAAGGCAGCTTGCTCTTTCTCCCCCCACGTGTACTCAACCCCCTTCCTCAGCAGGTCGGTCAACGGGGCAGTCAGCTTCGCCATGTCGGGGACGAACCGGCGCACGTAGTTGACGAACCCCAGTAAACTCTGCAACTCGGTCAAGTTGGTCGGCGCGTGCCATGCTTGAGTCGTCGCGATTTTCTTCGGGTCTATTTCCACTCCTGCAGCTGAAATAACGTGTCCCAAAAACTCCAGGCGGTACTGTAAAAACTCACACTTAGATGCTTTGGTCAGTAGGCGGTTCTCACTCAGAATTTTAAAAACTGCTTCGATGTCCTGTAAGTGCTGTGTTCTGTCGGGGATGTAAATCAGTATGTCGTCCAGATAAACGATGACGCACTTATCTAAAAGCGGGCGGAATGCTTCGTTCATAGTCATTTGGAAGGTGGCGGGGGCGTTGGTCAGTCCGAATGGCATGACAGTGTATTCGAAAGATCCGTAGCGTGTTCGGAATGCGGTTTTAGGGCAGTTGGGTGGGTTGACGCGAATCTGGTGGTAACCTCCCCGGAGGTCAATTTTTGAGAAAACCTGGGCTGTGAGCAGTTGGTCGATCAGTTCGTCGGCTCGTGGGATGGGGTAACGGGATTTGATGGTAACCCTGTTCAGTGCTCTGTAGTCTATGCACATGCGAAATCCCCCGTCTTTTTTCGGTGTGAACAGTATCGGTGCGGCGAAAGGCGACGAGCTAGGGCGAATGAACTCCTTCTCGAGCAGGTAATCGAGCTCTTTCCTCAGTTCGTCCAGTTCGGGTTGGGTCAGTCAAAACTGTCGCTGTACTGTTGGCTGTGCCCCCGGTTCCAGTTATATCCTGTGATCGTGCGGTCGCTGAGGTGGCAATCCCGTCGGTAGGTCGTCCGGGAAAATGTCACTGTACCGTTTCAACAGCGCTGCCAGATCACTCGGTACGTCGGTCAGCAGTTTCTGTAAATCCCCTCCCTTGTCTGCTGCCTCGGCTTCCCGAATGTCAACCGCGTACACGTCAGCCCCGGCCGCTACAGCGCGTTTCATTGTGATCGCATTGACACGCACCGACGAAGACTCAGGCGAGCCCTAGCGAGATAAGGCGATGTTGTTACCGTTCACTCGCACGGTGCAGTCGCCCGTCGTCCAGTCAATTCGCGGGTTGTGTCGTCGCAGCCAATCACGCCCGAGTAAAATGTCGGTTCCGTCAAGGGTCGTTGCGAGCATTTCCTGGCTAAACGTGAAGTTACCCCCGCACCGAATCCGAACTCGGTCTACGCGTTCCCGTATTGCCAGCGGCGTGCCGTCTACCAGCCGTGCGTCGATCTCAGGTAAGCATCTGTCCAGTGGCAGTCGGAGTTTTCGTGCTGTAGCAGTGTTAATGAGACTGTGGCTGGCTCCCCCGTCTACGAAGATTTTAACTAAGTCTGTCCCAATTTTCCCACTAAGCAGTATAGGGATGTCTACCGTGGTACCCTCCTTATTCGGCCGGGTGTGGTCGATTGTGTGAACCGGCACAATCACTCGGTGAGGGTCGGTTGGGTCGGGCGAGCGGCGTGACCTATCAGTAGAGGGCCCGTCTGCTACTTACTCCCAGCGTTTCCTTGCTGCTTGGTCTGTTTCTGCTGCTCAGCTTCCCCCTTTCCTTTAGCGTTTTCCGGGCATTCGTTCTTGCGATGTTCCGGCCGATTGCACGCAAAGCAGCGCCCTTTGAACGGTGCGGCAGCGGCATTTGCGGCGATGGCGCGTATCGTGGCGCCCTCGTTCGTCCCACGAGGCCGATGTCCCCAATTGTTGTTTCCGTAGGACCCCGGTCTCGGTCGGCGGAAGAAGTCGAGTTTCTCCGCCATGGCGAGAATCTCCTGAAATTCGGTGACGCCGCGAAGCTGGATTTCCTGAGCGATGTCCTGCTTCAGGCCGCCGATGTAGCGGTCGATGCGCTCGCTCTCATGCATGTAGCCCACCTGCTCGCATAGCGCCAGAAACCCGCTCGTATAGTCCTGGACGGAACCGAGTTGGCGCCAAGTGCGGAGCTTCTGTCGCGCCGCGATCGAAGCCGCAATTGGCTCAAATCGAGCACGCAGACCTGCGCACCACGCGTCCCACGTGCGATACTGGGGCACCTCCACGAAAAACGATGGCGCCCAGGGTCCGGTTTGTCCTTCCCGTGTCGGTAGAGTCGCGTAGTCCATCGGCTTCGTGACGATGACGCGCCACCAGTCCATGGCGGGTCCTCGCAGCAGCGACACGGCGTATCGAATCTTCGCCGTATCCTCCGAGATGTAGTTGGCGTAAAAAAACACATTCATCGTGAACAACCACGCCTCCACGGTAGGACCACCCCGTTGACTTGGGTCAAAGCATGGCGGGCGCTGCGGCTTCAGCGGCATCGGTGATGGCAGTCCCGAATCGTGGGTTGGTGCCGAAATCGTGACGCGAGGCTGACTTGGGGCCGCATGCGTCGCTTCGGGGTGTGTCGTGCCGTGGTCGTCGTCTCCGTCGGGGCGGACGACGCCATCACTGGCCGCGCTCGCGGGTTGCCCCACACTCCCGTGCTGTGATGTCGTGGATGCGGGTTGAATCGGAGTGCCAGGTGCTTGAGATTGTGCTCTCGTGAGGTCATTTTGCAGGGATGAACGTTCCGCCGTCAATGTCGCAATTTCTTCGACGCTCTCGCGGATTTGTCGCAGCAGATCGTTCAAGTGCTCCTGCGTGAGGGTCGTGACATCGATATGTTCGGCCATGCCGAAGGGCGTCGGCTCGTCTTAGTCTAGGCGCATTCGTGGCTGCACGCGTTTACGAGAGAACGCGAGGACAGCGGCTCCTAGGGGCTAAGGTGCGTAAGTCCCTTCGAGTGAAAAATCAAAAGTTGATTTCCTGGTGTGCGGAGATGCGCGGTCCGAAAGAAAGAGGCTCTGAATACCAAGTGTTACGGGTGCAATGAATCAAAGTAGCGAGAATTGCACTAAGGTGTCAAACGAGTACCAAATGTGAGCGAAGGCATGAGCGAACATTTATACGTGAAACATGCAAACGGTAACGCGGTGCGTGCGAGCTAGCTAGTGCTACGGTGGAGCGAGGCTCGGGCTAGTCCCGAAGCGTAGGCCGACACGGCCATGCCAGCAGTGCAAGGTTTGGCAAAACAGTGCGCGCGAAGTCGGCGAAGTCCCGTTAGCAGTAACGAGCGAACAACGGCTGTTGCTATACGCGATGTAATCGGGCTCCGTAAGGAATGCCGAGAAAATTCCTTACAGTTGGACTTCCGCGACAGTCAACTAAAAGAAAAAGGTGAGGACAATGAAAAGGCGCTGGAGACTCGTGGCGAAATTTGGCCAGGTGTGACTTAGATGAGTTCGCCACGTATCCCGCTCATCGCTGACTTGGGTTTCGCTGCCAGCAGGGTTTGGAGCATTGGCGGGGAGGGGGGCTAGGGTGAGGGGAATTCGGAAATTGACACGTGGAAGTTAAAGCCTTCTTTCTGGATGGAATCTCGGATTTCACAAGTATACAGCACCACAAGATGCGCTGCTTACCATTTAGCAACGTCTCCTGGGGAGTTTCAGCCTTATGATTGGGTGCCTACAATGAATGAGATTCTCCAATCCAAGAATTTTCCACCTCGTGGATCAGAACAGTTCAGAGCCACTCGATCAAGTCTTGCTTTGCCACAAGCGTTGGATCTTCTTTCCAAACTCCGAAAATTCAACAGCACTCCCATCAGCAGGAAACCATTCCGAACCGAACTCCTACGCCAACCCCAATTCCGTTGTGAACTTTGTGAGGCGTGGCAGGCAATCCTTCTGCGACTGGTACAGCATGGTATATCTCAACGCCCCGACTACATCCGGGTGCAAAAACGACGCGGCTCGGGAAAGGGATCCGCCACCCTGCGTCATCCTGTCCGGCTAACTGAGTGCACGTCCTGGGCGAGGAGCGTCACCCTGCGTCGCCCGGCAATCCCGATGAAAAATACCCCGATAGCACCTCTCAACGGACCCTCCGTACGAGGTCGACACCTCGACGACGCCGGTCGCGGTCAGCGTGCCACGACGTCCACCTAGCCATTGGCGCGGACTGCGACGTGAGGCCCACCGCGATTTCTGGCCGGCCACTGCGCTGGCGCGCAGAGCCACACGTCGCCCATCCGAAACACAACATTCCACGCGGCGAACATCGATCGGCAAACGTCTGTCCACGCGGCGATCAAGCCTTCGCACCGTGGACCAGTCTAACAACATCCCGCCGGACAACACCCCGCCGAACGATACATTGCCACTTCACACCCCGCCGACCATTGTGCCGCCGACCACGGCCACTCCGAACATCACCCAGCAGAACACCAATCCGCCGCCCTTACTTCCCGAAATTCCCGAACTGACCGACATTGCCGCGGAGTTGACGATCGCCGAGAACGTTGAGAGGGCCGAAAGACGGGCGGCCTTTAGGGCCACGGTGCGAAGGCAATACACGGCAGCGATTGTGCAGTATCGACTTTGGTGGGCTGAGCACGTACCGCAGCGAGATCGCGTCGACAACTAGAGGCCGACGGGAACAACTCTACCCGCCGAGATGGCTGGCGTCGCTCCGCCGGCGCGGAGCAGCGCGATTCCCGACCTGAACGAGCCTTTCATGGAGGAAGATGTAGACGCCGCTAGGGCAAATATTCCCGCCGACATGGTGGTCGACGTAGACGCCGCTAGGGCAAAAATTCCCGCCGACCCGACCATCCCCCTACCGCCAGGGACGAAAGGGGCTCCCGAACCCGGGCCGGACCGGTACTCGCCGCGTTCGGACACGGAGCAGCCGCCGCCAATTGGACCATTTCCAGAAAACGACTACATGTATCTGACCGTAGAGGACTTGTTGGCAGCCGACGAGAAAGATGACGCCTTCCTGCATAACATTCCTCGCGACGATTTTGCGGAAGCCGCCTTCGACATCAACAAAGAGCTCGCCAAGAAGAACAGATTGCTGAGGATGATGTGGGCTTTCCGGCATCTGGACACGCTGGAGGCGAGAACGACCCGGGTTCAGTACCTGCGGGCGCTGCTCGACTTCAGGAGATGGTGCTGCGCAAACCTTCCAAGACAGCCAACCGCCAGAGTCAAGGGGGACGGCGTGCTGGAACACGAGGACGAGATAGGGAGGTACATCGACGAAGACATGGGTGATCAGTGGCACACCGCCAAGGGCGACCTACAATGGATGCACGGTCCCTGCGTCAACGCCACGCGGATCAGGGCGTACATTCTGTCAATCGCAAGGGAGTATGGTATTGCAAAGGCCGAGGAGCTCGAGGAGCTGAATCCCGACGTCCGTGTCCAGCCCCTGAAGCCGACATCGGTTTCGATGCTGCTCATCCGTATCAAAGCGCTCCAGACAGCCTGCAAGGTCGAGGGGACGCTCTTTGGGGTGAAGGAGCTCCACATCATGTACGACATCTCCGAGGTCCGCTCGGAGGTGCGCGCGATGGTCAGAGAGAAGTGGCACAGGGACGACAGGTAAGTCGGCAAGTCGTCCCGCGCCTGTTTCCCGGTTCGCCCAGCTAACCCAGTCCTCGTGGAAACTGATGTGCAGGGATTGCGTCGACCGGCACCGCGGAACGCTCGGCGACACGTACACCACCGACCAGATCCGCCACCTCATGTTCAAGGTCTTGCCGACCTGGGCAGCTCGGGCGTACGAACCCAAAGCGGCCACCCCCTCCCAGACACTGTGGAAGTTTCTGCTGATGAAGATGATGACCCTCTTGGGTCACCACACCCTTCTCCGCGGAGCCAGTCTCCGAGCGATCGAGCTCCCCGACCTGTTTTTGTACAGAATGGGGAGCGCGTCGCCCGAGCACTCCACTCGACGGCCGGTTGTCATAGTCGTCGCGTCACGAAACTCCAAGACGAACAAGGATGCTCGTCTGCATCACAGCTACGCGGCGAGACACCTGGACCAAGAGATGTGCGCCATCGGTCACACACTGTTGTGGCTCCACTTCGTGTACGACCAGCTCAGCCGATCGCCCACTTCTCGATGTGTGCCGCCCCTCGACTTCACGACTCCGTACAGGTGGTATCACAAGCACCTCTTTCATGCTCGGAACGACAAGGAACAAAAAGAGCTGCCGGCGTCATCTCATTCTCGGATCACGAAAGAGATGTGGCGGACGAACAACATCTTCATCACGCGCAACACCCACGCCGCCCGGGCGGGTGGGGCACACGAGCTGGCCGACGACGGCGTTCCGCGATCTGACATCGCCGACTTGGGCCACTGGGCGCTCGACAAGCTCGCGAAGAGCTACATCACGACCATCCCGAAGGCGGCGGTGTTGAGAAAGGCCGGCTACACGGGCAAGCGCGGCGACTACCACCTCGGCCGGAGCATGGTGAAGCCCGACGACAAGGTGGTGGCCCTCATCGCCTAGCACATCTTTCCGTGGGCTGAAGCGGAACTGGCCAAGGTGAGCATTTCGGACGGCAATAACGCCGACAACCCGCCGACCATTTCCACGACGACATTATACCGGCGGCTGATTGTATTTGTATTTGTGTTCGACTCGCAGGCGGTAAAATGCGCATCCGCGAGAGAGCCCAACACGGCCGGGGTGCACTTCCTGCAATCGCTCATCGAGTTCGGCCGCCGAATCGTCGCCGAGGATCTTGCGTGCATGCTGATGCGCGAACCGTGGCACCCGTACGTCCAGAGTTCCAAGCTCTGCCGCGACCCCGACTTCCAGAAATGGGCTAAGGACGTCAACCGGGTGGACCTCGAAACCATCGCGACGCGCAGTACTCCGAGCGAGAACCCCCAAGAGGTACGGCGTGCGCGTTCCGGCGACCTACAAAACAAGTCGTCCTGCCACATTGGCTCACCTTTTGCCGACCATCCCCCTTGGATCGCAGGAATTCAGCGCGCGAATCGACGCCGAATATCAGGTCGACCAGCTCACCATGATGCTGCACCGCCAGAGGGAGGATGCCGCGATCGAGAAGCTTGAGATGCAGAAGAAGTTGGAGGAGAAGGACGCGGAGATCGCGAAGTTGATGCAGGCTCTCAAGCTGGCCGAGGCACGGCCGACGCCGTCTGCGCCCGCACCGTCAAGGCCGATGACGGCCGCCGAGAAGGCAGCGTCCGTCAAGATCGAGAAGGAACAGGAGGATGACCTGACGTACGAGGTCAACGTCGTGCATCCCTGGCGCACATCAAAGACGGTCGAGGCTGCATGGCGCTGGTGGAACAACCCGTCCAACTTCGACTCGCGTCCGTTGCGCGAACGTTTCGACGAGCACAGATTCCTCGTCAGACACACGCGCATGATCTGCAAGGTCGAAAAGGGCGACAAACCCGCCGCGTCGGCGAAGTCGGCGAAGAGCTCTAGTCCCACGACCGAGGCGGGTGAGACGGGGAAAAACGACGCGCTGCAGCACTGCACTCGCCGAATGAGGCGGATCATGGAAGCGGTGCACGACTTGCGGCGGAGCGACGACGCCGCTGACACCGCCGCCGTCATCAAGCTACTCGACCACCTGGGGCGAGCGGGGCTTTCCACTTTCAGCGACGCGCTCTTGGTCCTCCGTGCAACCCCGCCCATCAAGGTCCCCACCACAGCCGACGGAAAGTCGGTCGGCATCAAGGGTCTGGACAAGCCGCTGGCGAGGAAGCTCGCCGTTGCGTGGGGCGTGGTCACGGCGGGCTACATGGACGCTGACTGGGGAAAGAGGCTCTTCGGCGACTTGTGGGATGAGCAGGCCAATAAGGCCGGCTTGGAGGCCGAGGCGACAGTGGGAGCCATCGGCGCAGGGAAGCGCAAGAGGGCGGGCTGAGGGTACTGCGTCTGGGTCCGACTTGTGCTGCTGGCTGAGCGTGGTGTGACTGAGGCCGGGCTGAGGGCGGGCTGAGGGTGGGCTAGGGATGTGCTGAGCGTGTCCGACCTGTTCTAGTGACTCTATATGGTTTTCTTTTACTGGCAACTTTGTTTCGACTTGTAAATTAGTTGAAGTTTGTCCGTTGTTCATGCATCAAACCGACTCCACACCACAAAACCTACGTCACAACGTTTCTGAAAAACTACCGACGAACAAGCTCAGCATCACTAAGCCGGAGAGGCACAACAAAACAACAAAACAGCGGTCAACAAGCCTGCAGCGTTTGCACCCACGCCGACCATGCTACGAGCAGGCGGGCCAGCCTTCGTCGACCTAGGCGTCGGCGACCTGCTTCCCTTTGTGCTGCTGCCCCCTCGCCCCCCTGTCCCGAATGATAACCTTCATCTGGGGGTCGATAGGCAAATCGACGCCGCGAGCCTTGAGCTTCGGGCCTCCGACATTGCAGCCCCCCCAGAAGGCGAGGTTCTCTATCATGACACGGGCGATCAGCTCGTCGTGCTCGCGCTCCTCTCCGACCTCAGGCAGCGACCTCAGCACAGCCGCCTGCAGGTCCTTCGTCACCGTTTCGGCGACCTCCCCTACGACGACCTCCCGAAAGGCCGCCCGCTTAAGCACCGCCTCGATGACGGTCCGACACCGACTCGCGAACTCGTTGGACGCTCCGCGCACGGTCGCTGCCGCCCCCCCTTCGCCGGCCGCTACTTCCGCCGTGGCATTGGTCTCCGAAAAACACCACACCGCGGCCGCAGTACCGGCAAGGATCTCGGACAACCGCTCCGACCCGACGCCCGGAATGGGCAACACTTTCGCGGCCACCGGTGCGAAGGCGGCACACATCGAAACGCGTGCGATCATGTCGCTCGCCACCTTCTTCTTCGCGGCCTTCTCGGGCTCGGTCGACTCCGGAAGGTCGCCGAACCACACCGCCGGGCGAAGAGCCAACATGAGAGCTGCGCGGTCGGCTCCGGTTATCCTGTTGTATTCCGCGACCACCTGTTGGAACCTGCGAAACACAGCAGAAATACCCACCGTCACCGACCGGCCCACGCGTACCGACCGAAACGAGCACCAAATTGAGCATTCGCCAAGCTTACCTGTCGCGGAAGACGTTCGCCCCTCGGCTCCACATGACCATCCACATGCCCCCCGGAATCAATCGCGCCACATCCCAGTCCGCCTTATACTGCGCCATCACTTCCTCCTTGACCCCACCGAACTCGTCGAGAACCACGTCGCTGACGAAGCCGTTGAACGACGAAACGGCGACAGCGATGCAGTAGGCGGCCTCGGACTTGTCCATCGACCGGCAGATGTAACGGCTCTTCTTCCCTAACTTCATCTCCGAGACGGCCAGCCCAGTTGAAGGGTCAACGCGGACGCCTGAACCCTTCCGACCCTGCGCGGCCGCTTTGGACGTCCCCTTGGAAGAGCCGACCTTCGGCGGGCCGCCCTTCGCTTTGTCCTTGCCCTTGCGCCTCTGCTTCCCATCGCCGACCTCACCGGTTGTGGCCGGGGGAGATTTGGTGCCAGCCGCGCTATGGTCCTCCGCATGAGCAGTCGAGGCGGCTGGTGCACCCTGTTGCGCTCCCACGGTGGGAGCTGCTGCTTGTATTTTCTCCCGCATGACCTCGATTTCCGGGTCCGGCATCACGATGCTGGCGAGGATCTCTTCGTCCACCCCGCCGGCCTCTTCCGCCGCTCTCCACACAGCCGCCTCCACCGTTGACCCACTCGGCCCTGCAGTCGCCGCCGCGACGTTCGCTGCCTCTGCTCCTTGGTCGACCACCTGGTTGCTGTGAGTCGGAGGAATTACCGGGGTTTTGTGACCCTGATCCTCGAGCCATTTCAGATACTCGTCGTACGATGGCTTTTGAGTGATTAGGGCCTCGACCGCCCGAGACTCAACAGCCGTTGGGATCGGGATGGGTTCCGCGGCGACCATGGCCCCATGAACGGGTAAGCTGGCCGCACCGGCAGCCTGCTGGACATGCTGTCCGATCACCGCTGCTGGGCGCAACAGCTCGTCGACCAGCGCCGTGACACCACCCGGTCGCGCGTCACGTGCAGTGGCAGGACTCGTCGCGGTGTGCGGATGCTGGCCCGCCGCGGCCTGCTGGACATGCTGTCCGACCACGGATGCTGGGCGCAAGAGCTCGTCGACCAGCGCCGTGGCGCCAGCCGAACGCGCGTCTCGTGCAGTCGCCGGACTCGTCGCGGTGGGGGTATGCTGGCCCGTACCTGGCGGCCCGCCCTGCTGTCCGACCACCGCTGCTGGGCGCAAGAGCTCGTCGACCAGCGCCGTGACGCCAGCCGGACGCGCGTCTTGTGCGGTCGGCGTGCTCGTCGATGGGTGAAGATGCTGGCCCGCACCGGCCGGCCCGCCCTGCTGTCCGACCACCGCTGCGGGGCGCAGGAGGTCGTCGGGCAGCTGCGCTGTGACGCCGGTCGGTCGCGCAGTCGGCGTACTCGTCGAGGGTTGAACATGCTGGACCGCAACGGGCTCCCTGCGCGCCTGGCCGACCACCGCTGCGACGTGCATGTCGTCTGCCGTCTGGGCCGTGCCACCGCTCGGTCGAGCGCCTTGTGCAGTCGCCGGACCCATGAGCTCGTCGGCCAGACTCACCTGCTCGCAGCTCGGTGGCGCGTCGTGTGCGCTCGGCGGATCGGTCGGGGCCTGTGGCTGCTTGTCCCCCACGGGCTGCCCACCGGTCTTCCCGACCACCGACTGAGGATCCTCGAGCGCGACGTCGACCTGTCGAAAATGTTCGCTCGGTCGCGCGCCAAGTCCATCTTTCAGCAAGTCGTGGACGCCGGGGATACGAACATACGGAGGGGCAGGAGGATCCACGCCCACACCGCGTTTCACCGCAGGTCCTCTGCTTCGCTTAGAGCCGCTGGTCTGGTCGCCGGTCAGGGATTTTTCGTCGGCGACCCTTTTCCCCGACTGCCTTGGGGCCGGCCCACTCTCCTCGGCGGTTGCGCGACCGCCGTGCATCACCGACGCGAAAGCAGTTGGGAGGAGGCTAAACCCGGCGGTGCCAATGCCCTGTTGGGTCGCGGAGGTGACCGCCTTCACCAGGTCGTCCCTAAGCTCTTGGACGACCTTCGCAGTCACGGCAGCGGCGATCCGTTGCGCCTCGCCCTCCATGGCGGCCTTCACCTCGGCAGACACGACTGTTTTGATGTTCTGGCCGAGAGAATCTGCCACACCTCGAAGCAGCAGGAGGTCGTCCTCCCGTCGCCTACCCTGTGCAGCAGTAGCCGTCAAGTGCAGGGCCTGCACGGTGGGCAGCCACTGCGTGTTCATGAATTCGAGGGTGGAGCCGCGATAGCTCACCGCCTCCTGCACGACCGCCCTCACAGCGTCCACCGCCGTTTGGATGCTCCTCCCCGACGTCTGCTCGAGATGGGTCACGCCCTCGGTGACTGTAGTGAGCTTGTTCACGGCCGAGGTGACCACGTCGTAAATCGTGTCATTCCGGGCCGTTTGGAATTCCAGCCTCTTTTCCGCCACCAGCTTCTCCTCCCTCAGCTTCTTGATCTCCCTCTCCGCCGCCTTTAGACGCTCGATAGCCGCCTTTGACGCCATCCTAGGCGGGGTCGAGCCACTGCTGCCCCGGGCCTTCTTGCCCAACTTGGGTCCGCTGCCGCCGCCCATATCCGCAACCTTCTCACCGGCGAACTGCACTGCCTCCTCTTCGCCGGTGACAACCACGTCGTCCTCCTCACGCTCCACGTCCTCCTCCTCTTCTTCCGAGCCACCGTCGTGCTCCCCGCCCCCCTCAACGTCCTCCCTCTCGTGCTCCTCCTCCCCACCCATAGCGATGCCGGTTTCGACGCCACGGGCCACGGTCGACGCCGCCTCCCCTCTGTTCGACGCGGCCTTCTCCGCGTGGTGCAGCAGCTCCAGTCGGAGCGCCTTCAAGCCGACCATCTTCGGGTTCTCGACGATGAGCGGATCGTAGCTGCGAAACACGTCGTCGAGATGCTCCAAAGACCACGCGAACGCGTTGACCGCCAACAGCCCCGAGCCGGCGACCTCCTCCTTGAGGATGTCGGGCAATTTCTGCATCAACATCCGAAGCACATGGCGCCGACAAAAAGGGTGAGTCGACGCCTCGACGACGATAGCCCAGGCGACAAGGCGACATGGACGTTGGAAACTCACATCACAGATGGGGGCGGCAAGACTCTCCAGACGTTCGGAGAGGATTTCGGCGGAAGGAGGCGCAGCCGTCCACTGCCTTCCCTCACGGTTCAACTCCGCCTTCGCGCACTCGGCGAAAAACCTGCGCTACGAGAAGGGAAAGAGCCATCAGACAAGGCGGCATGAACGCCGTTAAAGAGCGGCGCGACTAGCCGTCGACGTTGTCCCACCTCATAACGTTGGCCGCCTCCTCCTCGTGCCGCTTGGAGGAGGTCTTGGGGTCGAGGTGGCGGTAGAACGTCCCGATCTCCTCCTCGTCGGGCAAAAGCAGGTCGCCAGGGCGCACAACAAGCAGGACGCTGCAGTGCCTGCCGGGAAGAGGTCCGCCCCTGCCCACACAAGCACGACGGAGACATTCAGGGTTCTGTCCGGGAACAACAAGCAACTCGGTCGGCGTGGATCAAACCTCGCGGGCGCGGAACACTCACCCGGTGCACAGGGGGATGGCGAGGGCTTCGAAGCCGAAGGCCGACCCGAAAACTAGATAGTCCGCCTTCGACGCCGTCCTGGCGGCGCGAAGACTCGCACCGCGGATCAGGATCATGCCGTCGCCTTTTCCCAGACGATCGAGCTCGTACCTAGGACAAGCGGGGGCGAAAAGGCGGGAAAGAAACACTTGCGCGGTGAGCTACAATCCATGCCGGACGAAGGTAAAGCACGACGGCGATGTCGCCGGAAGCATGACGGACGTCACCGACGTAGGGCCAATGGTCGACTAGTTGATAAGACGACGCAGCTAAAACGTCCATCGCGGATGGACATCGTCGACCACACGGGAAATCGACAAGGCCAACGTCGACCTAGAAAGGACGCCGACGAAAACGCGCTGAACCCTGAACAACTGACAACGCGACCTAGGGATGCGCGCTCACGCGAGGCCGAGGTCGAAGCAAGGTTCTGTGAACTCGGCCTTCTCGTCGCGAAGGACTTCGTAGTCCTTCATCTCAAGCGTCACCCCGTACCCACCGACGCCCACTGGCACGTGGAGGGGGAATTCAGTCGCAGGCAGTGCTATCCTACTGGTCGCCATGCTAACACCACGGTCGGTATCACGGAAGGTTTGGGGAGGAGCGCGGAGAGCTGACAGGGAGGCAGAGGAAATCGGAAAGCGAAGGTGGAAAGGAGAAATGAGGGATGGAGTGGGACCCCCCATCAAGAAATGGGTCGTGGGCCGTCGGTCGGTCGCCTAGTATGCAGCTCGGCGGACGAGGCAGGTCGTCGTGGCCGAGGGCGAGCCTCCGGCTTCGGCCCGTACCGGGCATGCCCTCGAGGGCGGGGTTCGGAGGGGCGGAGGTGGGTGGTTTGTGTGGGCCGTGCGTGGGGGTGGTCGGGGTGGCGAGGGCGAGCCACGTGTCCCCTCCCGAGGGGCCAGCGATGTTGACGAGGGTGGGGTCGGGCCCTTTGAATTTCGCAATCAACCCGCCTGCCCGGCGAGGGCAGCCCGAGAGGGTTACTAGGGCCTCGCGGGCAACGCGAAGCGAATGTCCGCCTCCGTGAAGGGGTAACTAGGCCCCTCGTCGCTCACGCGCGAGTTCGCCACCCGTCGGCTGCAATGTGGGGTTCTGTAGGAATTGGGGGTGGGGGGGCCGGGGCGGGGGTCGTGGGCAGAGCCCCGCCCCGCGCCAGCCTGGCGGGGGACTCACGCGAGGGAGTTGGCCGCCCTGACGCTCGGTCGACCGTCACCCCCCCGCGTCGTCCCAGGCAGAACGGGTGCGTCACCCCGAATTCCGATGAGCGATTCAGACTCCGCCCTCCCTCCCTTGCTAGAGAAGCGAAACGACTGGTTCTCGAAACGAGCGAGTGGCTGATACGTGTAAGGTGGTATGGATACGTTTCAACCAGCTGACAGATTCATCTCAGGCAATTGGCGATGCGCTGCAGGCGGGGAAGTGCCTGTCCTCGCCGGCGTAGAGCGTCCCGCAGGAGGAAGGGAGACTTCGTGATTGCGTGATAGGAGGGAAGTAACCCGAGCAATGTGCAGGATCAGCAACAGTTATTGTTACGAATTCACTAGCCTACCGCCGCTAGCCTGTATGCACATAGTCTTGAGTTGGGCTCGTTTGAGTCTCATGGTGGATTCGTAGTAACAATCAGAGCTGTTTCTTGCTCAGAGGGTTTCTGTCAATCTCCTGTCGTCACTTCCTGAAGCCCTCCTGTATTCGAACACAGTTTTTGCCTATTTTCGCCGACGGTTGCGTAGCTGATCGTTGGCGGTGATGGCTAGCCGTGGAGATGAGTTAGCTCTCAGTCTTACAGCTCCCGTTGATGCCGAGAATCAGCATGAGGTGAGAGTGATGCCGCTGCCAGTAAAACATCACACCATTTCTAGCCGATTCCCTCGATTGTCACCACACCCTCCTTAAGACTCCTAGCGCTCACTGTCAGTTTTTGGAAAAGACATCAAATTGATCTTATCCTCGCGCTCACTCTCTTGATCTTCGAAAAATTTCCCCCAACCCAGATCGTGGACGTGGTTGATCTGCTGCCCGGCCCCATCTGGCACATCATCTTCTGCCACCTGCTGCTGGGCGAATCGCACGAGGGACGCAGGGCCTCGCGCTTCACTCGACTTTTGAATGGACTAAAGAATAAACTGCGGAATCGGGGTAGCTCCTCCGGCGCATCGCAGCAGGAAGCAGGCAGCACCTCGCCGGGTGCCACTGCGAGTGGACTTCTGAGTCGACTCAAGAATAAACTGCAGAATTGGGGTAATTCCTCGGAGAAGCAACACGCGGAGGCATTGAGGACCTTCGGCTGCTGCTGGCCTCTGCTGCGCTGCGCCATGGTCTGCAAGAGGCTCCTCCACCATGTCGCCTCCTTCCCCGTGAGTCTCTCACTGATCCCCATGAGTCTCTCATTGCTCCCCGTGAGTCTCTCATTGCTCCCCGTGAGTCTCTCATTGCTCCCCTTCAGTCTCTCATTGCTCCCCTTCAGTCTCTCATTGCTCCCCGTCAGTCTCTCATTGCTCCCCGTAATCCATGGTAAGGTTCTTCTCTGGGTGCTGAGCTTTGAAGCGGTCATGGTCACGGCTGTGTCTGTCCATATCTCTGTCCATCTCTCTGCCACACTGTGATCAATATCTCGAGCACAAAGTCGCAAAGTCGCTCCTCTACTGGTACATTCTCATCACTCTCCGTGTGTGTGTCTGTCCGTCTCTCTGTCACACCGTGTGCGAGCAGGACTTGGAGCCCATGACGCTGCCTATCAACCCCCAAGACCCCTCGCTCACACGTCCCTCGGGAGCGCTCTCTTTGTTCCTCAGGCACGCGCCTCACACGCCCCTTAATGTCCTTCTCAACAGCTCACAGGACCTGCACTGCCTCGGCCGTCTCTTGGGTCCCTCTGCACGCTCCCTCACAAACCTGTCCCTTGGGCTCAGGGAAGCTTTCGAGAGAGTTGAGCCTATCATGAGGGAGTTGCAGCATCTGGGCGTTCTTGAGGAGTTTGTGCCTATGATCGATCAGAATCAGCCGATGAATCCGGCCGTTCTCGAGGAGTTTCAGCAGCTGCATCAGCTGAATTTAGACCGTGGGATCTGGCAACTAGGCAAGCTGAATCCAGCTAGTTTCGGGGCTTTAAGGAGTCTCAGCGTCCACGATTTCGAGTGCGGCAAAAAATCTCTGTCCTTTCTTTCGTCGGTCACACCGCAGCTGCATGAACTCGCTCTCGCCGCCTCCAACAAAAGCTCTGGCTTTACCACCGTCACCCTCGATTTCAAGCTCACCGCTGCTCGATCTATCACAGTCTGCTTTGACCATCAATCGCTCCACCTCCGCTTCGCCCTGCCTGCCTCGTTGAAGGCCTTCTCTGCCACTGCGTTGGTTCTCAACGTGGATTGCACATGCAACAGCCGGCTCTCTCTCGACTCGCTCTCTCTCATTGGCTACTCGCAGCTTCTCGTTTCTTCGCTCCCATTGGCTGCCGCCAAATCCGTCTACTTGAACGGAGGAGCAAGCACCCAAGAAGACCAGTGGCGTGCTTTTCCCGGTTCCAATCTCGAACCCCACCGCACCGTGACCAACCTGCTCAGTAGGATAGCGCCAACCGTGGAGGAGCTTGTGTTGAGGTACGGCTGGCCTCTGGAGGGCGTGCGTGTGGAGTGGAGCCGCCTGCGTTGCGTTTTCGTTGGTATAGATCGTGAGAGCACTGGGGGGATTAGTTATAAATGTAGTCCGGGGGATCCGGAAGATTCTGATCTTCGGAGGTTCCTTCGTGCGGGAGAAGAGAATGGCATCTTCAGCAGCACCAGCGGCTTGTTTTTCAATGCTCCGAATCTGGAGTCGTGTTACGATGCCACATGGCTGCTTGATATTAATAGAATTAGGATGTGAGAGTTGAAAGAAGACGCACGGAGGTGGTTAGGGTAGTAAGTGAGTGGAACCAGATGTGAGGGTTGATAACGGTGGTGGCAATGGTGTGGGAATGGGTTGGTGTGACCATGGGGTGGTGTGGCCATGGGGTGGTGTGCACCTGTGTGCTGCACTCTAAACCCTTGGCGATGGGATGAGCACATGATGGCAGTGGGGGTGGCAGTGGTGGGCATCTGGCGTGCTTCTACAGCTGTGGTGCTGTGGTGTCATAATGGCAGATGCTCTGTCTGTTGCCAGGGCACAGGGCTGCTGCTCCACCAGCTGAGCACAGTAAGCAAAAGACTTACAAAGGGCTGTTTGTAATTTGTTGATTTGATGTATGGATGATGTGTATTCCTGCTTGATATTACTGTTGTATGTTTTGCTTGATTTACTTCACACCCATCACCATCCCTCCCACTTGCCTTGGATAGATACCGTAATATTTTCCTCCTCTAACTCGCTCATTGATGCTCATTGATGCTCATTGATGCTCACCCACCGCTACATTCCCCTATACCCATTTGTGATGTGCAGGGCACATACTTTTCTCTTTAGAAAGAAAACTAGCAGCATCACACGTAAACCTCAAGTGCCCACACTCATGCTCCCCAGAAATCATAGGCTCGCCTGGCTGATACCGGTAGCTGCAGGTGCTGCTGCTGCAGGTGCCGTTGTTGCAGGTGCTGCTGTTGCTGCAGGTGCTGCTGTTGCTGCAGGTGCTGCTGCTGCAGGTGCTCTATCCACTGCTGCTGCTACATTCACGCTGTGGTTGAACCCTACGTCCTCCACCACATTAGCCCTCGCTAAAAGCACATCCAGTAGAATCGGGTGCATGGCATAAGGAGCTGCCATGCGCTGCTCTCATCTGCTGCCATGCGCTGCTCTCATCTGCTGCCATGCGCTGCTCTCATCTGCTGCCATGCGCTGCTCTCATCTGCTGCCATGCGCTGCTCTCATCTGCTGCCATGCGCTGCTCTCATCTGCTGCCATGCGCTGCTCTCATCTGCAGCCAGCAGAGTGAGGGTGTACTCTCCGTATCCCGACATAACCATCTGTGCTCTCATCTGCTGCCATGCGGGTGCTCTCATCTGCTGCCAGCAGTGTGAGGGTGTACTCTCTGTGTCCCGACATAACCATCTGTGCCTGCGACACAGATCAGCTGCAGCGCACTCGCCTATGGGGGTAGCTAGGGGGCCGGGGGAAGGGCAAGGAAGGGAGCAGACAGTGGGTAGTGAGTCTGAGCATGGGCGTCTCGAGCCAAGGGAATTGGTGTGCCAACTGACCCCTGAGAAGGGCGGAACCCACCCCACCACACTCCATCCCACCCCACCCCCTCCCATCCAATCCCATCCCATCCCATCCCATCCATCCCATCCCATCCCATCCCATCCCATCCCATCCCATCCCATCCCATCCCATCCCATCCCATCCCATCCCACCCCACCCCACCCCACCCCACCCCACCCCACCCCATCCCATCCCATCCCATCCCATCCCACCCCACCCCACCCCACCCCACCCCACCCCATCCCATCCCATCCCATCCCATCCCATCCCATCCCATCCCATCCCATCCCATCCCATCCCATCCCATCCCATCCCATCCCATCCCATCCCATCCCATCCCATCCCATCCCATCCCATCCCATCCCACCCCACCCCACCCCACCCCACCCCACCCCACCCCATCCCATCCCATCCCATCCCATCCCATCCCATCCCATCCCATCCCATCCCATCCCATCCCATCCCACCGCTCACCTGCCTCTTATTTGCGCCGCCTCTTGTGTCAATCGCTGCACGTCAGCATTTGAGGAGTCAACAAAAGTCAACAGGTCAACGGCACCACGTGCCTCAGCGCCACCTCCTGCTCCTCCTGCTCGCGTGCTCAAGTGCACCGACCCTGCCTGCAGCAAGAACGACTTCATTGTGTTCTTCCCCGCTCCCTCCTCCCTCCTCTCCCTCCCCTCCTGGTGCTGCCACCACTGCCGCCGCTGCTGGCGTGGCGGATTGCACGGCCACGAGAGGGCGGCGGGAGAGGAGGGCGCTGAAGGAGGCAGTGCGGCCGCGCAGCGCAGCAAGCTGAGAGCCGCCAGTGATACGTGGTACTCATCCCCGCCTGTGCTTGAATCGGCCGCACTTGAATCGGCCCCACTTGAGTTGCTTAAAAGCTCTGCTAAGAGAATTGCAACCGGTTGTTGTGGCGTAGAGAGGAGGGAGTAGGGAAGAGCGGAAGATGGAGGAAGGGAGGAATGAAGGAATGAAGGAGAGAAGGGGGGAGAAGGGGGAGAAGGGGAGACGGGGAGACGGGGAGACGGGGAGAAGTTGAACAGGAAGCAGAGGAAGGGAGGAGGGGAGAAGGGGAAATGGGAAAAGGGGAAAGGGGAAAATGGGAAAGGGGGAAGGGAAAGGGAGAGAGTTGAAGAATGAATGGAAGGGATTCGCTATGCTACAGTTAGGATGCAGGCGAGAGAATTCAAGCGGAACGATCGCCCTGCACTGGGGACGATCGCCCTGCACTGGGGACGATCGCCCTGCACTGGGGACGATCGCCCTGCATGGGGACGATCGCCCTGCACTGGGGACGATCGCCCTGCATGGGGACGATCGCCCTGCACTGGGGACGATCGCCCTGCACTGGGGACGATCGCCCTGCATGGGGACGATCGCCCTGCACTGGGGACGATCGCCCTGCACTGGGGACGATCGCCCTGCACTGGGGACGATCGCCCTGCACTGGGGACGATCGCCCTGCACTGGGGACGATCGCCCTGCACTGGGGACGATCGCCCTGCACTGGGGACGATCGCCCTGCACTGGGGACGATCGCCCTGCATGGGGACGATCGCCCTGCATGGGGACGAGGAGAAAAGCAGCATGCAGTCTCAATCTGGGGTGTGGCCTGTCTCCTGTCACCCTGTTGCCCATCACCTGTCGCCTGTCGCCTGTCGCCTCTGTGCGTCAGCTTAAGTTCGAATCTTGAGTCACGTGACTTAAGAACCAGCTTGAGTTCTAGAGAAAGAGCACAACACTTTTACCGAGAGTAAGTCGAGTCGCGGCGAGGCTCACCTTGGCCGCGATGTGTGCCACGGCGAATCAAGGCATGGAGATTAGTATTTCCTCGTCACTTGGCCAGTCAAGGTCGAACTCCCAATTAGGGTTTGGACGGGAACCGTTTTCTGCTGCCGTGCGGTGAAGACATGTCGATGGCAGAGGGTAAGTAGGTATAGCGAGAATGCCGGAGGGCGCTGCATGTCAACGCCACGGCTAGTCATAATTTTCTCGAGCGACTCTGTAGCGAGTACTACGCTCTCACGTCGCGTGACGGATAGGCGTCAGTACCGGAAAGCGGTGTTCGTTCTTGCGATAGGCTTCTGCGATTGGCGACTAGAGTGGTTACCACTAGCGTCTGGTTCCGCAAGAGCGTATTATTTCAACCCTGTCCTGAATGATCAAAAGTTTGTGAGTCGAGCGGCGCATGGGAGACTGTCTGAACGCGTCTCGTCGCAGTTCTTGGCCTATGGCGGTCCCATAGGCATGGCGGAGGGCGACGGCGTTCGCGGTGCGTGCCATTGCGGAGTCAGCTGAGAACGAGAGAAGATGATGGAGGGAGGGAGGTGAGGGAGAGAACGGATTCGACGAGGACGAACGCCAGCAACGCATACGACGGTGGTGAGAAAAGGAGTTCATGTTCTCGGCAGGTTGTGGTGTGGTTTACGACTTCCTGAGATGTGCGTGTTGGACCTTTGCGACAGTCAACGAATTAGTGAGGAATGGGTGAGGGAGACTCGTGGCGATTTTTGGCACTCCTTCTCGTGTGAGTTACAATGTTTTGCTACGTGTCGCGCACACTCGCTGAGACAGGGAGGAACTGGGGATTCAGAAATTGACTCGCAGGGTTGAAGCAGGTGAGGAACTGGGGCTTCTTGGGAATCTACAATTTCGCGGGTCATAGTAAGGCACAATATGTGCTGGTTACCATTTAGCCAGGTGTGGATTCTCGGCGTCGGTGGGCTCGATAATTGGTTGCCATGCCCAAACTCCCGGGGAATTTCAGCCTTTTTATTGGCTTGCTAACAATGAAGGAGATTTCCTATCCCAGCCTACGTGTCGAGGGATAACAGAACAGATCAGAACCACTCGATCAAGTCTTGCTTGTTCACAAGCATTCCATCTGTAGCAAACCTCCCTGTCAAACTCTACTGCGTGTTGGTGAGGGCGGGTGCAATGAGTACGTCCGATGGGGATTGAGAAAGGTTTGGACCTGAACCAAAGCAATCTAATTTTAAATCCAGATGGTTGGGTAGGGTTCTGAGCAAATACGTACATTGTTTACCCAAGTGACTGGTTTTCGTAACAGGTTGTACTAGGGATGGATTTCAACTAGCTGACAAATTACATTTCGGGCGATCAGCGATGTGCCGCTGCAGGCGGTCCTTGAAGTGCCTGTCCTCGCCGGCGCAGCGAGTGATAGAGCGCGGGTCACAGAGGTGTCCGGAGGAGGGAGTGCTTCATGATTGCGTGACAGGAGGGGAGAAACCCGAAAAGCGTGTAGGATCAGCAGCAGATTTCGTTACGAATCCACTGAAAGCCGAGCAACACAACTGAGTTCACCGCCATTGTCCTACCGCCGCTAGCCTATATGCACCTAAAATTGAGTTGGGCTTGCTTGAGTAACGTGCTGGATTCGTAACAATCAGAGCCGTTTCAAACAGAGCCGTTTCCTGCTGAGAGCTACTCCAAACAGGGCTGTTTCTCGCTCAGAAGGCTTCTGCGAATCTCCCGTCGTAATTTTCCGAAACCCTCCTGTATTCTTTTGCCTATTCGCCGGCGGTTGCGGAGCTGATCGTTGGCGGTGATGGGTAGCCGTGGAGATGAGGTAACTCTCAGTCTTACAGCACCCGCTGATGCCGAGAATCATCATGTGGTGAGAGTGATGCCGCAGCCAGTGAAACATCACACCATTTCTAGCCGATTCCCTCGATTCTCACCACATCCTCCTCCTTAGGAAAAGACGATGGGTTTGTATTATCCTCGCTCTGTAACTCTCCCTCTTCCTGTTAATTTAACACATTCCCCAACCCAGATCGTGGACGTGGTTGATCTGCTGTCCGGCCCCATCTGGCACATCATCTTCCGCCACCTGCTGCTGGGTAGCTCCTCCGGCGCACCACAAGAGGGAGGAGCAGGCAGCGCCTCCGGCGCATCACTTCTTAGTCGACTCAAAAAGAATCTGCAGAGTCTGGGTAACTCCTCGGGCGCATCACAGGAGGGAGCAGGCAGCACCTCGCCGGGTGCCACTGGGAGTGGACTTCTGAGTCGACTGAAAAAGAAACTGCAGAATTGGGGTAATTCCTCGGGCGCATCGCAGGAGGGAGGAGCAGGAGACGCGTGCTTCGGCTCCTGCTGGCCTCTGCTGCGCTGCGCCATGGTCTGCAAGAGGCTCCTCCACCATGTCGCCTCCTTCCCCGTGAGTCTCTCATTGCTCCCCGTAATCCATGGTAAATTTCTTCTCTGGGTGCTGAGTTATGATGCGGTCACGGTCACGGCTACAGTCACGTCTAAGCTCCTCAACCGTCTTCTTGTCCGTAGCTGCGAATGAGCATGATTTCGAGCCAATGACGTTGCCAAGCAACATACAGCAGAATTTTAAGTTGACTCACAAAGTCGCTCCTCAAGCACCTTTCAAATCGCCATCTCCATCTTCCCATGTGTCTGTCTCTCCATCTCTCCGTCCATCTCTCCGTCCATCTCTCCGTCCATCTCTCTGTCACTCTTTGTACGAGCAGGAGTTCGAGCCCATGAAGCTGACTATCAACTCCGAAGACCCCGCGCTCACACGTCTCTCGGGAACGCTCTCTGTCTTCCTCACGCACGCGCCTCACACGCCCCTCAATGTCGTTCTCAGCAGCCCCCAGGACCTGCACTGCCTCGGCCGTCTCTTGGGACCCTCTGCGCGCTCCCTCACAACCTTGTCCCTTGAGCACAAAGAAATGATCCCTTGGAGGCAGTTGCTGCTGCATTCAGAATTTCTGGGGGAGTTTGAGCAGCTGCAGAAGCTGGTGCTAGGAAGCCGTGGGATTTGGAAATTAGGCAGCCTGAATCCAGCAATGTTCCAAGCCTTAAGGAGTCTGAGCATCCACGATTTCGAGTGCGAGAAAAATGCTCTGCCCTTTCTTTCATCCGTCGCACCGCAACTGCATGAATTCGCTCTCGCCTCCTCCAGCTTCGGCTCTGCCTCTGCCACCCTCACTCTCGATTTCAAGCTCACCGCTGCTCGATCTATCACAGTCTGCTTAGAGCAACAAGCGCTCCACCTCCGCTTCGCCCTGCCTGCCTCTTTGAAGTCCTTTTCTGCCACTGCGGCGAGTCTCAACGTGGATTGCACATGCAACAGCCGGCTCTCTCTCGACTCGCTCTCTCTCATTGGCCGCTCGCAGCTTCTCGTTTCTTCACTACCATTGGCTGCCGCCAAATCCGTCTACTTGAAAGGACCAGCCAATCGAAAAAACCAGTCGCATGGTTTTCCCTATTCCGATCTCGAATCTCAGTGTACCGTGACCCACCTGCTCAGCAGCATAGCGCCTACAGTGGAGATGCTTGTATTGAGGTACGGCTGGCCTCTGGAGGGCATGCGTGTGGAGTGGAGCCGCCTTCGTTGCGTTTTCATCGGTGTAGAGAGGTGTGGGGGGATTAATCAGAAATATTATCCGGTCAATCCGGAAAGTTCAAAATCTTTGAAGTTCATTAGTACGGCAGGAGAGGAGGGCGGCGTCAGCAGCAGCACCAGCGGCTTGCTCATCAATGCTCCGAAATTGGAGTCGTTTTACGATACCACCGAGCTACTTAAGGTGTTCTGGAGTTCGTTCGAGGCAGGGCTCTCGTTATCAGACTAATTTAGTCTGTTGGTCTAGATTTCAGTCGCATTTTTTGTTGTTCATATGTTCTCGCAGACATAAAAATGCGGCTCATATGAGAGCCCAGATGAGCTGTTTATTCTCATATGTTTTTTCAGAACACATATTATATTTCGTGTGAATTTCCTGACAGCGAGGATACATTTGTCCGATAACCCAAGGGAAAACAAAGAAGCTCGGGAATCCCTTCGCAAGAGCCGATCCCACTACTGCCGGAATCCGCGTTCAAAATCAAACCAACTCCGCCATCCGAACAAATTCACTTGCACGTTAAAATTGAGAAAGCTTGCTTTCTTGTCCTTATAATTTGGCATCGTTCTCATTGCAACTGGCATTTGGCATCGTTCTCATTGCAACTGGCTTATTACAACATATGCATCGTTCGTAAACACATGCTAGTACATGCAAATATTACTAGCTATGGAGTCGTCCGTCCAAGCAGCTGTGGTCTTGTAGTTGGTCCGGGGTGGGTGGTGGGGATGTTGATTGAGCCGTTGGAAAACGAGAAACGTGGGTGGAGGGAATGAACTCCAACCCACGGTTTTTGTAGTTGGAGAAGGGCGTTTAGCGCGCTTCGACGCTGCCAAATATTCGGTACAGTCAGCTTCGCTTTCACAATACACAATTTTGAAAAACATCAATGTGTTTAAAAATTATAATATTGAGAAAGCTTGCTTTCTTGTCCTTATAATTTGGCATCGTTCTCATTGCAACTGGGGCCTCTGAGACATGGCCAGTGGTGGCTTGCGGTTGCGTAAGAGTGCCTCTGCGTGCTGTTCTGGGGGCAGCGCGTATGTCGGGTCCTGTAGGTCGCGGGATGCCTTGATAAGATGTCCGACGTATGGTGTGACGTACATCTCTTTGGCGGTGTCACTTCGCCACCTGCCCATCCTTTTGAAGATTCTGTCCGGCACGCCGATGTTGGCGGCTACGGTTGCCGCGCCCTTTCGGAAGGAGTGCGTGCCGAGCTGCTGCTCCCCAAGTCCTACTTTGGCGAATACTTCTTTACACCAGTTTCGGATCGTTGTGTACGAGGGTGGCTTGGCCTGGCCCTTGTTGGCTGAAGCGTGGCTGAAAAACGCGAATCAACGACCCCTCGGAATGAGGGCCATAGCCAGCGAGTTGGAGGAAACGTTGGGTGCAGCGCACGGGGCAACAAGGGTCCGTCGTTGCGGCGATGGGAATCCAGGTTCCACGACCAGCCTGGTCCGTTTTTGAGTGTGGGATGAGGATCCACATGACTGCATCGTCGAATTGGATGTCTTGCCACTGGATGGCAACGAGGTCGGAGTATCGCAAAAATCCGGAGTACATGAGGATAGGGATCAACCCCTTCTGAAATTCAGCGGGATTGTCCGACTGCAAGTAGTTCGCGGACATGTCCCGAACTTGTTGGATTGATACGGGCTCCTTCAAACGACTAGGGCGAGGGCAGTGTCGTTTCGCGTAGTCCCGCACTTGGGTGGTAAACGGTCCGACAGTCGGGCATTTGCTTCCAGTCATGCGATGGGCGAAGCTGACTGCCGAGCACGTGAGCTGCACTACAGACAAGGTTGCTTTGCGTTGGATTGCATGCACCAAGTATAGCGCGAGGGTCATGTCGGATGCGGGAAGAAATGGAAGATCCACCTTTGTGCAGAAGGCCCGAAACTTGGCCCAGTACGGTTCGTATGTACGGATTGTCGAATTCGCTCGCGATTGTGTGAGCATGTTGATGAGTTGGTTGTGTAGCTTTGGGAGCGGATCTGGACACAAGGCGCGTACATTCTCAATTAGTCAAAAACCACCCGAAGTGCGATGATTGGGCTGTGTGGTAATCCAGTGCCTGAAAAAGCAGCGGAATGTGTTCCAGCTGCCAGGCATTGGCTGCCGTGTGTCAAGGGAATGTGCGCGTGGATGTACGGTGCCCAGTTGCGTGGGGAAGGTTGTAAAAGTGGCCACCAGTTTGCACCCGGCCAGTGTGGGATGATCAATGTGAGCGATGCACGGGTGCGCTGTGCGTGATGGAGGACGGCCGGAACTAAATGGGGCGGGGGGAACGCAAAGCTATTTTCTGATGTCCATGCGAGCGAGAATGCATCGACTGCGGTGGCTTGTGGATGAGAAATTTTAGTGCAGAAGCGTGGCAGCTGGGAGTTGCGGGAGTTTGCAAAGAGGTCGATGGAATGGGGACCCCAACGCCGTTCTAAGATGCGGAACCACGGCGTCTTCAACGAGTAGTCGTCATGATCGACTGCTTTTGAGAGCTCATCGGCGTGTGAGTTTAGCTCCCGTGGGATCCATTCGATGATTAGACGCGTGCCGTGCTCCATGCATAGTCGAATGATGTCTTGGCAGGCCGTGGTAAGGTCGGGGCTGCGCGAGCCACCTTTGCGAAGGATGAAGAAGACGCCCTGATTGTCCACCCGCACAAGAACATGTTTGTGCGTGATCTTGCTGGAGTATGTTTGGAGTGCCCAAAGCACACCTTCGATCTCCCTCCGTGTGCTGGACGTCGCTCGCAGCGGCTCTGGCATTGTTGCGCTAGCTTCTTCGAGGCCGCCAGGAAATGTGGTCAAAGTGGCGCCCCAACTGTGAGCGCTAGCATCCACATGGATGACAGCGTCGTAGCTGTTTCGAACGTGAAACGGTGCACCGTTGAACCTGTCAAACTCTTCGAGCCAGAAGTTTAGCTCCTCAGCCGCGTTTGAGGGGATGATCACGCTGCTTTTCCATGAAGGTGCGTCATTGATCACTTGTAGCATGGCGTGGCTGAAAGCACGAGCTGTTGCGCCCAGCGCGACGCCCATTGACGCGAGCATGCCTGTGATTCTGGCCACTTGGCGGACTGAGACGGGTCGACATGCCTTGCTTGCGCTCAACAGGTTCCGAATGGTTGCATGTAGTGAGGCTCGTCGTTCGGGACCGATGGTAAATCGGCCTGTGGCCGTGTCTAGCTCCACACCCAAGAATCGAAGGTGTTGCGATGGTGACAGCTGTGATTTCTTCGCATTTATCACCAAACCTGCTGCTTTAAGGTCCAGTATTACACGGTGGCAAGTAGCCTGCGCGTGAGCTTTTGACTGGCAAAGGAATAAGATGTCGTCCACGTATGGTACTACTCGGATGCCTTGCTCCCGCCAGCGACGGGCTAGCTGCTTGATGAGTTGCGTGAAGATGAATGGGGCTGTCGCAAGACCGAACGGCAATGAACGAAAGGAGTAAGTGCGCCCATCGAATCCAAAACCGAGAAACTTCCAGCATGAAGGATGGATATCGATGTGATGGTACCCGGATTTGAGATCAATAGAAAACATCCAATCCCCAGCGCGTGCCACGTCTGCCACGCGGCTGAGTCCTTCGTACTTGAATTTTGGGACGATGAGGTTTGTGTTGACTTTTCTCAGGTCGAGGATGAGCCTGCATTTTTCTTTCTGCTCGACCACGTTAAGTGGGCTTATGCACGTAAGCTCGCTTGCGGCTGTCTCGACTGCAGCTCCGGTCTCTGTGAGTTCTTGGATGGCAGTACGTGTGAACGACGCATGCGCGTATGCACCAGCGTGGTTACGCTCCCGAAAGGCCTGTGGTGGGCCGTGGCTCCATGGAAGCCAGTAACCGTTGGCGATGATGGATAGGACGAGGCTGCAAGGGCACCATGAGCTCCACCACGCAAAGGTCGAGCGAAGCCGACCGCACATCCGTGTGACGGTTTTGTCCGTGACGGCGAATTCGTACGGGCCATCGTCGCGAGGCACCTCGTATTGTTGTGCTCCTGTATGTACGGCAAGGAAATGAACGCGAACAATCAGGTTGCACGCCTTAATTAGTTCATGCGTGTGACATATACATGCATGCGCGAAAAAATGAACCGTCAACAGTGAGGACCATACGGACGGTTTGTCGTCATTCCATATAGGGCGTCCGATCGCACCTTGGCAAACTCTTTCTCATACTCTCTCCTTTTCCCTCCCCTCGTTTTTTTTTTTTTTTTTTTCTGGAGGATTGATGCTTGGGACCATGATCATGCTTCCCTCGTGTGCTCTCTCTCTCTCTCTCTCTCTCTCTCTCTCTCTCTCTCTCTCTCTCTCTCTCTCTCTCTCTCTCTCTCTCTCTCTCTCTCTCTCTCTCTCTCTCTCTCTCTCTCTCTCGCTCTTTCTCTCTCCCTCTCTTTTTGGATGTGTTTCCATTGTTGTTTGAGCATTTGCATGCTTCGCTTGTCATGAGCTCGTGTCTTTTCGCGCGTGCCTTTACTTGGGCTAGGCGACATCGCTATGCCCTACTCCCCCCCCCTTGCTCCTTCTCACCCTTTTTGGGCTTCCAACGGTTGAACCAGGGCTGCTCATCCTTGCCATGCATGGTGGCGGTTTGAGTGAGGAGCGTACGTACTCTCTTTTTCTCCCTCTCCCCTTCTCCTCCTTTTTTTTTTTTTTTTTTTTTTTAATCCGTGACAAACAAGAGGGGCCTTTAATAAAATCCCTATCTCTCATGGTCATACATTGTCATGCCTACTAGCATGTTTCTCATCCCATCAATTGGGGCATACGGGGGACCGAGAGGCATTCTTCCTCTTCCCCAAAGCTAGACCTACGGCCATACTTTATTACCTTATCCTAGGAGACCGAGAGGCATTCTTCCTCTTCCCCAAAGCTAGGCCTATGGCCAACTTCTACCACCCTATCCTAGGGCTGGCCATGGCCACCGCAAGCCCTACTAGGCTGCCCACGGTCTAAGCACTCAAAAGTGCACCGTGCATCGCGCCTAGAGGCGCGCTTCACCATAGCCCGAACCTTACACAACCGGT